ATATATATGCAGTTTGAATGCGGCTTGTATTGAACTTGTTCCTGGTCTCCCCGGAAAGTCCCCATGCAGGTGATACTCCACACATACACTCCTGCTCTTGGATTGTCCCGATCTCGCTGTTGGTCATTTGTCAGACTGCATAGCAAGTTGGGGTAAATCCTTATAATTGTTTTTCTCTGTTTAATTGGCTTCATATATTTCATACATATATATTGCTAAAACGTATATTGCTTTATAGTGAGAGGGAGGAATACCCTCTGTAGTGTAATGTAATATATACAGAGGATATGTATGACATGTATGATATGTTGAACCACAGATCTTCATTAAGGCTCCTAAAGAAGCACTTATCTGTGAAACATGTTGAACCTTCTGTTACTCATATCCTGTCCAAGCTGGAAGACTCTGGTCAAGATATGTGTATGTTACCCTTGTCCCATACTTGTTATCTATAACCAGTCTCTGTAAATGGCCAACATGCTTTTAAATATATGTTTTAAATATTTGCACCAATAAAATGAGTTTTTCTTTAACTAAAATACATGAAATTGTACTAATTGTGGCACCTTAAAAGCCCCAGACTCTTTTTTAGTCGTTTTGTGTTGTTTTCAATGGTTAATAAAAGTTTGGCCTGGAGTTCTGCTTTTGTGGTTGAAACAGTAACTAGGTTATTACCATTTTGTCTGGAGTTTAGATTCAGTGTACCATGGCCCGCACTTGCTTTTGGTTCCTAATTTGTTTTATTCCATCCTCTAGGACTATATGCAGGAATACCTCTCTCCCATATCCCACAAGCCTCTAATTTCATTATACAGAAGTATCCCAACTTGCAAATGTCCAGAGAAATATTTGTGAATGACTCCTACAGAGGTACATACATAGAGATAACTTATTATCTAAAATCTTGGAACCATGAACTACAATACAAAGAAGAAGCCCTTTGAGTGATCTTGATTGTCTTCCTCTTTCAGGTTTTGCAGTAGCTTATGGTGAATTTACAGAGGACAATGTTCCAGGTACAGTATGCTGTGTGTGAGAAGGCTTTGAATTGGACAATGGTCCTGCACCTCATAAATCAGCCTGGCAAGCCTGGCATCAGAAGGGACTTCATTATTCTTACCACAAGAACCAAAACCTGATATTTCATTTCTGAGTAGACATTCGTAGGTTGATTCACCTGTTGGCTTGAAAAGCCATATGACAGATTCCGACCAAGTGCACAAGGTTTTTTTCATGTTCCACAAGTACAAAACAAAGCAGCGCAGAAGTGCGAACAATACTCATTGAAAACAAAGCTGTTTGCCTTGTCTTTCCCTTGTGTTTGTGTTGGCCTAATGCAGCACAATGGCAGTGTTGTGAACAAGCCCTAAAAGCCTATTTTCCCTAAAATCCCTGCTCTTCCATTCACCTTCTATATCTCTAATGTGGTATACTGTACGTGAGTAATGGCCAAACAAGCCAACAAGCATACTCATAGAGACTTGTAGTGCAGCTGAAGAGAATGGGCCATGTCTGACCAGAGAGGGGGCGGTTGACCAGAAAGGGAGACGTGTCTGACCGTAGAGTGAGGCGTGTCTGACCAGAGAGGGGGTGTGTCCAACCGGAGATGAAGGTGCGTCTTACCAGAGATGGAGGTGTCTCTGACCATTTAATTTATCAACTGCATTAACATGCTCCCACTTGGAGACTCGTATAAATAGAGTTAGGACCACACTTTACAGATGCCTTGACGGTGGCAGTGTGGCTTCTATATATTTTTGGCCAAAGGTTTGTGCAACTATAACCTCTGCTTTTAACGCATACTGTTTGACTGGGTAATTTGTTTTGTTGCAGGCTAGCTGGCAGGTATGCTGGGGACTTTTTGTGTTTGTATTGTTGTAAGCCTTCCCATGTGCACCCTGCTACAAAGGCTGGTTATAAGTTTATGCGGTTACCATCTTTTTCTAGTTTGATCAGAGATGGAGGTGCGTCTGACCAGAGATGGAGGTGTGTCTGACCAGAGAGGGAGGCATGTCTGACTAGAGAAGGGGTGTGTCTGACCAGAGAAGGAGTGTGTCTGATCAGAAATGGAGGTGTGTCTGACCAGAGATGGAGGTGTGTCTGACCAGAGATGGAGTAGTGTCTGACTAGAGTTGGAGTAGTGTCTGAACAGAGAGGGAGGCATGCCTGACCAGAGATGGAGGTGTGTCTGACCAGAGAGGAAGGCACGTCTGACCAGAAAAGGGGTGTGTCTGACCAGAGATGGAGGAGTGTCTGACGAGAGATGGAGGAGTTTCTGACCAGAGATCGAGGAGTGTCTGACCAGAGAGGGAGGCACATCTGACCAGAGAAGGGGTGTGTCTGACCAGAGAAGGGGAGTGTCTGACCAGAGAAGGGGTGTGTCTGACCAGAGAAGGGGAGTGTCTGACCAGAGAAGGGGTGTGTCTGACCAGAGAAGGGGAGTGTCTGACCAGAGAAGGGGTGTGTCTGACCAGAGATGGAGGTGTGTCTGGCCAGAGATTTAGGTGTGTCTGACCAGAGTTGGAGTAGTGTCTGACTAGAAAGGGAGGCATGTCTGACCAGAGAAGGGGTGTCTGACCAGAGTTGGAGTAGTGTCTGACCAAAGAAGGGGTGTGTCTGACCAGAGTTGGAGTAGTGTCTGACTAGAGAGGGAGGAATGTCTGACCAGAGAAGGGGTGTCTGACCAAAAAGGGAGGTGTGTCTGAGCAGAAAGGGAGGCGTGTCTGACCAGAAAGGGGGCATGTCTGACCAGAGAGGGGGCGTGTCTGACCAGGGCTCTTAGATCACGGAGTGCACTAGGCAGTATGCACCAACTGTGGTGCCTATCACATTTTTATTTTTGTTCCAATGGAAACAAGGAAGCAGTGAGACGCAAGGTGGCATAATGCCCTACAGCTAAGCCTGTACCAGAGAAGGCTGAGCCCATGGCTTTCCACCCTAAGCACTTCACTACCTATTCTAGTATTAATCGTCTAATACATAAGTACTGTCTCAGTATCTGCTAAAGTATAACAATGTTGTTTGTTTTACAGAAGTCATCGTCAGTTCTCCAAACTTTGAAAACAAGGGATTGGTTAGTACACGCCCTTAAATTATCCGTTCTGTGTAAGGCAATGTGAACGATTTACAAGCTCAATGCAATAGTTGGGTAGTGTGTGAATTCATGTCCAAACCTCTTTTAAATGAGTAGCAAAGCCAAACTTCTTTGGGTTACAGGAGCACATTTACTAGGCTAACACCCATTATATGCTGACAGCGCAGATCCATCCCACAAGGATCCCATCAATGTTGTCAGGATCCACCCTGCTGCCTGATTATCACCTCTCTAGAGCCAGAGCCAGCTGTGCCCACCCCCTCCCCTACCTGTCCCTCCAATGAGCATTGGAGGAACAGAGAGGATCCCTGGGGGGAGCGGTGACTGACAGTCATTGCTCTCTATAGGGAGAAGCCACAGCTGAGTGATCAGTGGTCACATGATCACCAGCATAGAGCCGGCTTTCTGGCCAATAAGGAAGCTGGGCGCTGGTAATGGCTCACATAATGGCGCACTGTACCGGAACGCAGGCACTGTGCCACACGTTCGGGTGTGGGCGATCGCACTGCGGACAGGGGGCGTAGCTGCGGTGCCATTGACTTCAATGCCCCTCTCACCCCTGAACGCAAGGACCGCAGCTGACTGGGGTGCCTTCCAGGGCGTTCCCGAGGCCGAAAGCTCTGGAAGACACTCTTTGTGGTGTGAAACGGCCCTTACTGTTCATTGAGCAAGAGTCTCACAATCCAACATAAACCATCATAAACAATCATTGTAAGGAAATATAAAGAGGGAGATGACGCTTTGAGCTTACCTTGAAGAAGAACTTCATTGTACTGCTAGTAAACGACACCGCAACTGTGGAGGAAACAAATACTATAGTCAGACTCATGTATTTAATACACAACATAATATATTGGTGGCAGATCCGTGTCATGTCACAAATACTATATATACTGTAGAGTGTACAGGTCAGGACTATGCAATGTACAGCATTGTGCCAGGGCACAACTCACGTACACATGCACATGCACACACTCATATATATATATATATATATATATATATATACTCACATATATATACAAACACAAACTCATATACATACATGCATGCATGCAGATAGCCACCTTCCTGGGCAGACAATTGGCTGGTATTGCAGACTCTCCTGCCAAAAGGAAAGTGTGGGGAGGCTGTACTGAGGAGAAGGAGGCGCTGTAATGTGCTGTGTTCTGAGGTGGAGGAGGTGGGGCATGCTGGACTGTGCTCTGTTCTGGGGTGGAGGAGGCAGGCCATGCTGGACTGTGCTCTGTTCTGAGGTGAAAGAGCCAGTGCATGCTTGACTGTGCTCTGTTCTGAGGTGGAGGAGGTGGGGCATGCTGGACTGTGCTCTGTTCTGAGGTGGAGGAGGCAGGGCATGCTGGACTGTGCTCTGTTCTGAGGTGGAGGAGGTGGGGCATGCTGGACTGTGCTCTGTTCTGAGGTGAAAGAGCTGGGGCATGCTGGACTGTGCTCTGTTCTAAGGTGAAAGAGCCGGGGCATGCTGGACTGTGCTCTGTTCTGAGGTGGAGGAGGCGGGCATGCTGGGCTGTACCCTATACTGAGGTGGAGGAGGCGGGGCATGCTGGACAGTAGCATGTACTCAGGTGGAGAGCGTTGGGCTGTGGCCTGTACTCAGGTGGAGGAGGCGGGGCATGTTGGGCTGTGGCCTGCACTCAGGTGGAGGAGGTGGCGTATGCTGGGATGTGGCATGTACTCAGGTGGAGTATGTTGGGATGTGGCATGTACTCAGGTGGAGGAGGCGGGGCATGTTGGGCTGTGGCTTGTACTCAGGTGGAGGAGGTGGCGTATGCTGGGCTGTGGCAGGTACTCAGGTGGAGGAAGTGGGGCATGTTGGTCCGTGCCATGTAGTGAGGAGGTGGGGCATGCTGGGCCCTGTTTAGAGCTCCCTCCACACATTTTCCACTGAAGGCCGGGGCTGCCCTGTATAACATGTCTGGTAGGCCCAGCAGTGCTCCTATTTAGTACAGTTGGTAGGCCATGCGCCACTCATCTGCACCAATGGGGAGAGTGTGGCAGGAAGGGAGGTATGTTAGCAGTGCAGTATGCCCATGTGACTGAAGGGGGCGCTGCCTGAGGTTAAAGTGTCAGTTTGCCTCATTATAAGGTCGGCCCTGCCAACAATGTCCAGTATGGTTGAGTTCTGAGCTCTGTGCAGGCCTCTCCAATTCCTCCTCACCAAACTGGCCACACCATGAAGAAAACCAGTAAAGAATTGTTTATACCCAGTTCATGAATATGATACTGATGCCCGCTGCCAAATAAAATAACGCACGGCTTTTTCTGCTTGGCACCATTCCTTTAACCCATAAACTTCATATTTCAATTTCCTTTCTGATCTTTTCCAGGTGGAAATATACAGCGGGTACTTTAGACTGTTCAGAATCCAGGGAAATCAGGTGGGTGTATCTGTATCATTTCCTGTCTGGACAGGAAGTGATGGAAAACCTCTCTAATGTGGACACAGAGGCAAAGGAAAACGTTTTCAGTAGAGTTTGATGGGCTACAACTTCTGACAGTACTCTAAACGCATTCTGATGTATCCGAATGGGTCTGGACAGTAGACTCCTGCATCCGGAATCACAGGTGTATGCGAAGGTCTGCAAAAGCCCGTACAAAGCAATGGCAGGCACCACTACTGTTTGCATTTGTGCTGTGGTGAGGGACAGATGAGCAGCCCTAGGTCGCTATCTGCCTGTGTCCAGGGCTGGTCATCGCTCCCTCTCCACAGGTAACCGCTGAATGCACGTGAACAGATTCGGACTGCCACGGCATCCATCTGCCTGTTATTGCTTTATACAAACTTCTGAGCCTCGGCCGCACACATAAACCCAATTTGGGAATCTGCTGATTCTTGCTACAGGAATCCGCTTTGCAGACCTATTCGAATGTGTAAGTGAGGTCTAAAGTTTCCAGGACAGTCGCTCCCTGCTTTTCTTGTATGGGTGTCACAGGGATAGGAAGTGACACAAATCTCTTCCATAGGGGCTTAAACTGAGCTGCAGTAATACATTGAAGGGCATAAAAAATTAAAGTTATAAGAAAAGGCAAAGGTTTTGTATTTCAGACGCTGATGAAATCATGTATAATGGATGCTGCTCCTTGATGTTTAAACATTTTTTAATCAGCTGGTCCCATGAGCACTGGCCCTGATATCCTATGTTAGGGTGGCTTCTTTCCTTTGCAGGGTCCTATAGAGCCATCCTTGTGTGTGCTGGTAAGTTGTGTGTGTCTCCACAAATACACAGACACAGCAAGGCAAGACACACCCCTACTCCCTGCTCTTCCCTACTCCTGCTAGTAGATGGACCTCTGCTGCAGACTGCTCTGTCCCTTGTGATCTTGTACTGGACAGGAAGTTCAGGGAATTGGAGCTGAGAGAGTTGGAACTGTTTAGAAACATGATGACTATAAGTACTTGGGCAAAAATGTAAAGAAATATTTTGCTGGGCGATGTATATTTTTTAAATCTGGATTTATTAGTGAAAAAACTGTTTGAGAGTTTAATACTGCTTTAAATTGTAAAATGTAATAGTAATGAACCCCCCCTAGGGTTGTCACCTGCTCAGGATTCACCCGTACAACTCATGCCTGTTTTGTTTTTCTCTTTCAGATTGCTGCTTTTTTTGGTCACTCGGTGGCTGTCACTGACATTAATGGTGACAAGTGAGTGTTCAGAATAAATAATGTTTGTGGTAAGAGATTCTTTAGGTTGAGCCAAGAGTCCTCTAGTGTTTGCTTTGGGGTACTGCGGTCATAGTATATTCATCCTTGTTATGTTACATTATATGCAGGGCCAGATTTACTCTTTCTGCTGCCCCAAGGCCAGGTTCCTCAATGCGCCCCCCGCTACCCGCCAAAGTATGTCCCATCGCACTCCTGACCGCAAGCAAGCCCAAAAGCAGGGTGGGGGCAGCAGTGACAGCAGATGCCTCCGCGGACCATATGAAAATTCGAATAGAGGGTCATTCGCACTGCAAAACCCCTACCCGACTTGCAGGCTGTATACAAGTGATCTCGGCGACATCACCAGGATCACTTGTACAAAACAAGCGGCAGCTTCCCCGCTGTAAATTTAGCTCTGTATGCCCAAAGCAGGGCTAAGTGTAGAAAACAACTACCGGCCTGGCGCCTGGAACTACATGTCCCAGGCATAGAGAGATAGGATTTTCACACCCCTACTGCCCCTCTACTCTCTGCTGCCCCAAGGCCCTGATTATATGGCTCCTTTTCTCAACCAGGGAGCCTTCTGGCTTTGTCAGGGGTGCCTTCAAATGTTCACACAGCGTCCTTCATGTCTATGGTGCATGCGAGTTGGCCACCAGCACCGTGAAGAGGCATGACACTAGTGTATAGGGCAATCCATAGTCTGTAATTGGCTGTGGTCACATCTGTATTACAGTCTTTATGTTTTTTTCATTCAGCCTCGATGATCTTCTGGTGGGAGCTCCTCTTTTCATTGAACGCAAGGCAGGTGGAAAGCTCCTGGAAGTTGGGCAAGTCTACGTTTATAAACAGAACAGCCCCACAATTCTTGAGAAAGACCCGCAGATCCTCAGCGGGACATACGTTTATGGACAGTTTGGTGCATCCATTGCTCCCCTAGGAGACCTGGATCAAGATGGATACAATGGTATGAGGGCAGGCATTTCAACGTGACTACGAAGTCATCTTTACATACATACATACTTCACTAAGAAGCCCATGCAATGCCTGCCTCTTCTCATGTACACAAAGAAGTCCATAAATTCACATACCACTCTTCCTATGATAAATTGGTATGATCTAACACAGCTGTAGCGTCTTTTATAATCTTTTTACCATCGCTAGCCTCACCAAGACTCCCCTCGTATCATTCATAAATATGGTCTTATCAGAATCATTTCACTTTTCCCCCATAAAAATCCTGAGGCATTCCAGCTGAAGTTACAGGTTGTACATTAATCCGTACATTCATTGGACTGGCGGGCTACCACCTTTTTATTTTCCTGTTTTGTGAAAGATGATATATTTAAAAGGACTCACTAGTTTTTTGTCTGTCTCTAGATGTAGCTGTAGGCTCTCCTTTTGGAGGTCAATCTGGAGTGGGCTGTGTATACATATACAAGGGGGAGAAATCTGGTTTGTCTGCACAACCATCGCAGATCCTGGAAAGCCCACCAGAGACCCCATCCATGTTTGGCTTTGCACTGCGAGGAGGGGAAGACATTGATCAGAATGGATATCCAGGTAATACGCCATATAACTAAGTGGACATATAACCCTGTCCTGTCTTCTGACCTCTTTTATTGTGAAAGCTTTTAAGCTTGTACTTTTGGACAACTTTGCCAATGGATAAAGTTAATAAAGTGTGGGTCCAGCTACTGTTGTGTATGTTCCCTACTGTCATATCTACTTAGTGGCGCCTTCCCTAGACTGCAAATAAGATCAAGGCGGTAGGTGAGTTGGTTTACACTGAATAAAGTCTATTCGGATGCAGATTATACCTCTTGTATGTCCACTGCAGACTAATTGAGGTCACCAGAAGAAGTGGAGTCATAGGATACAAATAATGGCAGCTAGACCCTATAGATCAGCTGGTTTTAAGAGGGCAAGGGGGCTTTTTCATAGAGCATCAGTCATCTTGTTCAGCTCATAAAGTACTTTCTCTTTTACAATGGATTCTCTTTTTAGCAAATATATGTGCAAATTTGTATTTGACAATAAACTATGTTCTTTAATACAACACCCAGCTTTCACCATGACCACCAAGCACTGCGGCACTGTGGAATTTTGTGGTGCACCTCAGGAAAGCCAAACCTGGAGGAATTAAATTAAAAGAGCTGCTACATGACTAAGGGAGGACTATTCTCGGTAAAGGGTTAAATGCAAGGAGAAGGTGCAAAAAAATGGAGTCTTGATTGGTGGTCAATGGTCAGATAGCAGGAAGGCGCTGCAGAGGTAGGAACTGTAGATTGCTGGGAGGTCATTGCAGTCGAGAAATTCTTGTACTTAAATGTCATATGTTTGCAGAAGGTTTGTCATGGCCGCTCTGTGGATTTGGATGTCTATGGAAGAGAATAATGATTAAAACCTGGGGCCCATCTGGTGGTATAGTGGTGCCCCTTTTGGTGTCAGTCGTTCTACTCCAAACTCAGTTCCTTGGCTGAAGTCAGAAAATCCTTACTTTTGGAATCCTCCTTCTGTCCTTGAGCTGGTAGGCTCTAGCTGGAGACTGGGGTGGATCTTAAGCAAGTCTTCAGGCTGGCAGGCATCCAAAGACCTCCTCCAGGCAACAATTGCTAATTACTGTTATTTATGAGATATGGTTTAACGTTGTTATTGGTAGTTATGGAATTGTTCATTTTTGGTTTTTATAAAAGGGTTGCTGTGGTTGAATAAAATCAATTCAAAGCAGCCCAAATGGACAAATTGATGAATCTGTCAGTCAAATGTCTCTACCATTATAGGGACAGTGGTGTTTGATTCCAAGGTCAAAAGCTCTCCGTCCTTCCCTGGTTTAGCTCCTCAAAGCTGTCTAAACGTGTATGCATCCTTTCTATACTACAGCAATAGCTAGTCACCTTAACCGCTCTCACCTCCAAACTTTGACTTTCATGTCGTATCACCCCATCCCAGCCTAGAAGCGATTGAATTAGGTAGTCATAATCCCAGAAACTGAAGGCAGAGAATTAGCAACTCTTTATGATTTCCTCAGCAATGTGTGTGGAAGGAAAGTGCACCAATTTTTTATTGACCGTGATTTAGAAAGAAAAGTGCGGTACCCCAAATAGTAACTTGCGGGGGATCCAGGGAGGCAGCTGCGGTGAGAATTGTTGCTCTCTCCAGAGGTTTCAGTCGTCTGGCTCTGCCTGAGCTCAGCCAAGCTACAGGTAACAATGTGAAGAACAATATGTTAATATCAATACAGCAAGCAAGCCAAGAAGAAAAATGATCCCTTGCCAAAAGCAAGTAGGTTATAATGGGTAATTGTACTTTGTACATTGTTGTTGTGTTTTACATTTCCTTATTAAGTAATCACATTTTGTTACTTATAGATCTAATTGTTGGAGCATTTGATGCTGACGCAGTCTATGTGTACAGGTATGAAGAAGCATTGTCAAAGGTTCTATCCCTTCCTACTCTAATAAAACAGGGTCTTGTAAGTGGACAGACATATACATTTTTGCTTACTTTTTTGTATTCTTGTTTCAGGGCCCACCCAGTACTTATTCTCCATACCTCCATGATATTTTCACCAGACTCCCTGAACCCGGATCTGAAGCTCTGTAAACTGCCTAATGGAGGGGATGTCACTTGGTGAGAATGGGGCTATATAAAGAACTAAAAAGTTACATTAAATGACAAGTTTACTTAAAAATAAAAACTCCCTAACCCCCTCCCTAGCCCACTAACATAATCTAACCCTCAACCTCTCCACCCAAGTACCTACTTACCCTTTTCCTATGGTGGTAGCTGCCTGCTGTGTTTATAGCCTGGTGGCAGTCATCTTTTCTGGCACTGATGTACTGTAACTCCCCATAGATTTGAATGTGGCCCTACTCCAACGATATGCACCTTTAGTCCCCGTTCACACTAATCGGTTTATCGCACGTATTTCCGCTCCAAAATCACGCATATTTCCGCGCGATATCGCTCCATGTAGTTAGTCCAATGCATTTCAATGGAGGTGTTCACATCTTACAGCTCAATGTCGCCTGTAGCTCGTCGCTGTAGCTTGTCGCTTGCACATGACCCTTTTTTGTGCGGATGTCGCGCGATTTTGCTCACGATTGCTTCAGCCCAATATGAAAAGTTGTGCGACGTAGTGCGACGTAGTGCGACACGTTGCACAATACCGCACATATGACAATCACATGGAAAAACGTGCGAGATCCGTATCGCTCAGTGTGAATGGGGGCTTAAGTCTATAGCGAGCTACAGCACAGACACGGACAAGGAAGAAGGCTTCAAAACCCCAGAGGGGGCCATCATCATAAACAGCTAAATAGGCACCTGGGTGGGGCAGTTGAGGTTTAGGTTAGGGGGCTACAGTGGGGGAGATAGGGAGTTTTTATTTAAAACCTGTCCTTTATATGATAGAACTACTAAAAACATTCATTATCATCTATGTAAAGTTAATTATCCATGCCTCTATAAAAATGAAGGTATATGATATTTATGTAAACGCTGTTCCACCAGTTTTTTGCTTAGCCATTTTTTAATTCCTTTCAAGGCCACCAAAAAGAGGTGGTCAATACCCTTGGCATAGAATGCCGAGGCTCTGGGTTCAGTTCCCACTAGGGATGTTATCTGCATGGAATTTGTTTTCAGCATGTTAGTATAATTTACTTCCACTAACCAAGAACATTATAGGCTACTTTGCATCAAGTAGTTATGTTACAGGGGTGTAGGTAGTGTAGAAGAGTGTGGGGACTGGCAACACAGTCCCCAAGAACACTCAGTTAGAGGGGCTGAGAGGTTCCAGGATGTGAATATCTTTGCAGGGAAGAAGCTGGCTTTTCAGTTTCTTTCGTGTTTTCCCGACTATAGTGGGATGGAATCTCTAGTCCCGGGGCCAGGTGTTGCCAATCATCAGTCTAGGAGGATCAGGTGGCTGAGAGTAGCCTTATTAGGAGTCTGAACCAGAGCTCAGGGAGTTGTGGGTGTGCAGGAGGCACATGGCCACAGGCAGACTCTGCTGCGTACTCGAGCTCATGTGAAACAGCCCCTGCCAGGCTGGGGGAGGTAAACACTAAAACGCTTGGAGCTGAGGAAAGCTGCTGAGCGATACAGAGGACAGTATTTGCAGAGAAATACAGTAAAGTCTTGAGACTATCACACTGGGAGTGTATGGGAAAGTCAGATGTCGGTGAGACCAAAACACGATGTTTTGATGAAAGTTAATTGAACGGTTATGTTTCATTATGCGGAAGAAAAGCGAATTATTATGTGACGTACATGGATTGTTGACCTTTGAATGAATAAAGACTGTCCTTTTATGTTAAAGTCGGCTTCAGGAGTGGTCACTTAGCACTTACCGTTGGGCCATATTCCCCAAACTACCACAGTAGGCATAACATACTGTCAGTTGATTTAATTCTCTAGCTTCAGCCAAAAAGTATATCAGTCTTGAGAGGACTCGCCTTTTCATCAATATTTTCTGTTTTTTTCCCCTCTAGTTTCACTATGAGTGTTTGCATCCAGGCTTTGGGGAAAAGTCTTCCTGAGATACTGAGTGAGAACAATTCACTTGTATGCTTGTTGGGTAGAATCACCCACTGGATTCGTTTAGCTCTTGGCAGCAGCAAAATCTCTGGGCTTGGGTTTACACTTAAACTCACATTCCGGGAGGGTGAATTTCTTACACAGAATGGATGACGCAGCATTAAAAGTAAAAGTCTTTAAGGGTCACAGCTGGAAGGATTTTCCAGATCTTCAGAGTCAATGGGTGATTCATCCTGCCAACATCTACTTATTTATAAAATGTCAGTTTTCGATGGGCTGAAGCCACTTTCTGTGTCTTTTGTTTTTGTAGCTTTTACGATGGACATGCAGCTGGATAGTCAAAAAAGCAGATTTCTGCGCAGATCCCTCTTCTTTCACCTCTCCCAATCAAACGATACAATCACTATGGCTGTTCAAAGCAACTCACAACTGACCTGCACGAACACTACGGCATATTTAAAGGTGTGTACCCCGACACTAATTCAGATACAGCTCAATCTCTGTCAGACATGAACCCATTTTGTTGCTTCCCATAGGAGGATTCTGAGTTTAAAGATAAGCTGAGCCCCATAGCTGTAAGTGTAAATGTCAGCCTGGAGACTGAACAATCATCAAGCGTTTTACCACCCGTAATACAAGGAAACACCTTCCTGCAGCAACAGGTGAGATCTGGGGAGAGTTGGCCTTTGGGGGAGAGGGACAAATGCTTCCTGGGTCAGGCTTGGTCACGTGTGGACATTTTCAGAAGGGCAAAACGATACACCCTAAAACTGAAAAGAAAAACTTACGCCTTAAACAGGGGGCGCAGCCCACATATGAAGCAGTTGCGTTTTTTATCTAGGCATTGCTGTTGTGCAGTGGTCCACCACAGTCACTTTTGTCTGTAATCTGCTGATTCTGGAGCACATATAGGTTGAACTCAGTGGACATGTGTCTTCTTTCAACCTGACTGGAATACACTCATTGTTGTCTGTATATATATTGTAAGAGGGACAGGATCAACTGGTATTGGCAGTGGTAAACCATTCACGAGACAGGAACACATAGAAATAGTCCCAGCAGATTTGTCCTATGCTTTTTTCAACAAGGCAACAAACACAATTTCAGTCCAGTAGGGCCTTGTATAGCATGTTCATAGCATAGAACACACAAAACATCTGCTCGTGTGGGCCAGTAACTAAATTTATGTCAGTAATAATGTGCCCCTAATGGGTTCCCCATAGCAAAGAGGCAGCACATGTAAATTTTTAGTGTTCTGTCAGTCTTTTTACACAGCAGATACAGAGAGCCCGGAACATCAGTCAGCTCACATATATAAAGGCCTATGGGCAGCTGAGACTAATAATGAGGTCTGGCTACCAGTTAAGATGTGTACCTAGGAAAGGAGGTTTCATTATACCCAAAGGTCTACAAAACCACAGGGCTCCAAGACCCAGAGCAGGAAATGCCCTTACAGGAAATGAGAGGAAATCTCCCCTGTATGGACACAGACAGAATTTAAAGTGTATTTTTTTGTCCATCTCTGCAATACATGCCAATTATCCCATGGTCTGTCCCTTTAAAAATTCTGCAAGTGTTGAAAAATACTAGTTGATCGGCTAGTAACCCAGTGTGCTACTAATTTCCTATTCGAGCTGACAATACAATGCTTTTGCTGCACTGAAATCCCAAGCAGTGTTGTCAGCCCTGTTTCCCAATGTTGGGCCACAGAACCCCTTCATGTATGCTATGGAGAGGAGTAGAAGGTAATGGTGTTCTATGGTCCAGGAAGGCAGAACTAGGCAGGGGTTTCCAGCACCATTGTTCCTTTTTTTACAGGCACCAATGCCATTGTTTGCATTAATATAGTGGTACTGTGCCACACGTCTCCATTATATTCTATGACACCTCACTAACAGTCTCTTTTCTCCTCTTCTGTGACTTTTAGATTCATATTTTGTTAGGTTGTGGAGAAAACAACATCTGTGTCCCTCACCTACAGCTGAGTGCCAGCTGGTGAGTTCACCTTCATTGCACCAGATTCTGTGTCATTAATTCTTTGAGAAGACATCTTTATCTTGAGCTTCCTGACTAACAGTCTGTTTATTTCATACAAGGGGTAAAGAACCGCTCATCATTGGAATCGATAATTTTGTACAAATTGACTTCAATGCTACCAATTTAGGAGAACGGGCCTATGAAGCAGAGCTACATGCCTGGCTCCCCTCTGGGGCTCATTACATGCATGTCTTGGGAGAAAGTAAGGTATGTAGCAGTAGAGAAACTACATCCACAGCAGGCCCTCAGCCACTCTTTAACCTATGGGCAGGGTGGGGCACTGTGCTGGTTCCTTTACTGTTTATAGTACTGAATGTACTGGCACACGTCCTGTATATTAAAGCTTGTACAGAGTCCCTATTTTAAAGAGGATTAGATCCCTGACAGACTGTAAGGACACTTACAATTAGGTTCCTAGAGCCACCACAAAGGTCTTAACTGGCTTTGGTAACATGGTTTTCTGTCATAGGAGAGGATTCTGTGCAGTCCAAGAAAAGAAAATGACAATGAGCATGTGGTGTGCGAGTTGGGGAATCCTATGAAGAATGGCACACAGGTGAGTCTTTAAAGGTCAGCTCCACAAATTGTGGTTTGGCTCTATTAGATTGAATTCCCTACCAGCTTCTTCTATTTATCAGAGACTCTGTTGGTTTAATTTCCTTCTTTAAAGAAGAACTCTGGGCAAAAATTATCTTAACCCTCGCATTGGGGCTACCCCTGCACTGCAAGGGTTACGTGCTCGTTCTAGTCTAGGAGCAAAAACAACAAAGTTATAATATCTGAACTCACAGCCGGCTGACTCCTAGACCGGTCCCTGCAGCCTGTCTCCTCCTCCGCTCCAGCAATGTAATATCCCTCAATGTAACTCATAGGACCTTAGACCACTGGAGCGAAGGAGATGAGAGGCTTCGAGGACTGGTCTAAAAGCCAACAAGCTGTAAGGTTTGGGTGAGTATAACCTTATTTTCCCTTCTATACAAAAAAGAGAATTTAATCTTTGCAGTGCGGGGGTAGCCCCACGGCAAGGGTTAAGATCAGTTTTGCCTGGAGTTCTTCTTTAGACTCTGTGTCTCATACAAGCCACGTGTGGCTAATACATAGCGAGTTAGATCTGGAGTTGTTGTTGACGTTTCTCTGGCATGTAAGAGAAGCATGTTTCTGTGACAAAACACTCATATTAAAGTGTAAGTCCATTTAAACTGTTTTTGTAGTTTTGGATGAATTTGGGAAGGATTAAACGCCTTTTGAGTTTTCCACCACTGGTGATATCAGTTTCGACAGTGGTTCTTATCCATCTGTATCCAAAGTAAAAAAAAATTGACTAGCCATGCTTTTTAACAATATGTTTTATGGCACTTTATTCAGGTCAGTGAGTGCAGAGACATGACTGGACTCTTTCATACACAAGGGCCATATTACAATTTAGGGATGAAGTAGTTTAGAACAAAAGGAAATCTATTTTTCCTGCTGTCACCTCTGACCTATTGCTGCGTATTTCGCTGTCCCCTCTCATCTAGATCCGTGCAGGGCTACAGCTGAGCATCAGTGACCTGGAGGACAGCGAGGGATACTTCTCATTCCCAATGCAGATAAAAAGGTAAGGCTGACACTTTCAGATCCTCTGATAGTTCCATTTTGGAATATGTCACAATAGTATACCGTATTTTTCCGTCTATAAGACGCCCCCATGTATAGGACGCCCCCCACTTTTCTTACCCAAAATTCAGAAATCAATATTTTCCATGCTCTTTTGCATAACTGATTACATCCAGTTTAAATTTTGCAGAGTAAGACAGCCGCTTACTGGTACCGGTATTGTTTTTGTTTTCTGACATTTTTATGGGCTCCCTGTTGCATCTGGGCACTGGCGACATGCTCTCCGCAGCATCAGCTGACGTCGGGTACATAAGGCTCATGATTGCAGGAAACCTGTTAGCTTGTCTCTGCATTCGGAAGTTTCACTCGTGAGGCTAGTTTGCAGAGGTATCGGCAGTTTCGCAACTGCAGTTCTCCTTTCGGCCCCCCGTGTATAAGACGCCCCTCCATTTTTAGGTACATATTTTAAAGAAAAAGTATAGTCTTATACACGGAAAAATACAGTATGTATGGCCAAAACGTTTTTTTTAATTTTGATTAGCGTAGGGATTTTTTAAAAGTACCAAGCCTCAAAAATTACACGACCAGCGCCAAATATGCACAACCAAAGGTTCCCTCCTGTGGCCAAAAGAGTTAATAGGAATCCAGCATGGCCGCCCCATACCAGACAAGGGATCCTGAGGACTGCATGGAAAAGAAGAAAAAACACCGGGTGCCTGACCTGCAATAATGCAATAATCCTCTTTATTGGTGGAAATAGTATTAAAAAAAACATTATACTCACAAACGAGCAATAAAAATATCACATAGGACTTGTAGTCTTCACTATAGTTTGAAACCAGTCAGTTTCTTTTTTGCTGTCTGTGTAGGAAGGTTTCCCTTCACTTCCAGTCCTGGAGATGCAACAGGAAGTGGCAGAAAATCTCTCCAATGCGAGAACATTTTTTATTTTTTAGATAGCAATAAATACTCTATTCACAACCAAAGTTTTGTCTTTTTGTTTTTTAAGCCGCAACAGTCATAATTCCAGCAGTCCAATTGTCTTGGTACATTTCAATGTGACCGTCGAGGTGTCAGCAGAGCTCCGTGGGTAAGTATATTGAACGTTTATCTTGTTATATACTCTGTCACTTGAGAGATAGAGAGAGGGATCTGTCCATCCTTATTGTAGACCCGTGCAGATTTGCATTGGTCCATGGTGATCATGCAGTTAGAGGTCTATGCGACGTCTATTCATGTCATGTTTGCTATAGGGATGGGTCAATAACATAGACATGGGTATGAATAACATTGGGACATATTGGGAAAAGTGAAGGTTTTTCCTGGGTAACATTTTTTAACCGGCCAGATAAAATGTTAGCATGACCCCTGTTCTTGTTAAATTTTTTGTTTTCTGTTTGTGACTTAACCTTACCAGGTTTACTAATGATAGTTGTACAGGCCTAACTGATAACACAAGGCAAAAAGCAATGGTGGACAGCCAACTAAACCTCATATTTCAGAGGCATAAAATGGACCAACAAAATCTGACTTTCTATTGGCTATCATGGTTTCCTGCTTATTACACTACTACTATATGCTATGGCAGTACATAAGTCTGATTGTGTAACACTGTTGAAGGAAAGTTGTCATTGCTGATTTCTCCTTGTAAAAATTCTATTTCTAATAGGCTGTCATGCAGATAGTCAGTTTCAATACTTTGAGTCATGGACCTAAAACAAGTACACAGAAAAGGACTTCTGACTTGGCTTTGGCTTTCTCCAACTGCATCATTTTACCTTGAGTCAGTGGCTCAGAAAGTGTTGAAATCAGTGGGTCACCGAAATAGCCAGGGAAATAGCATTTTCAGAAGCAGGTCAGCAATGGCAGCCTCCATATTCCACTCATTTAATATTCAAATGTTAATGTATTTCTTGCTGTTCCTCAGGAGCGCCCAACCAGCTGAGGTGGTTCTGCCATTACCTAAGTGGAAACCACGAGAAGAGTCCAGTAAACCGGAGGACAAGGGGAAGATAGTGACTCATGTCTATGAGGTAATCCTGGTAATCTGCCTAATAAGTTTCAAACTAGAATATTGATTAGATGTACTACAGACACACAAAAAAGCAATCATACATAACATATAAAGCTTGCTGTATGTGTTCAATCATTCTCTGTTTATTTCTGCAGCTTTACAATATTGGACCAGGCACGCTCAACGTCAAGTTAATTGTTCAAAGCCCAGAAAATTATGAAGGTGATATCTTCCTGTACCCATTACGTCTGAAGACTGATGACATTGTGGAATGTACTGATGTCCCCAGCGTTAATTATTTACAGGTCAGATGGGTTTCCTGTCTGTTTCTAATTTAATATGCCTTGACTCATTACAAAATAAAACAAGTGCAATGGAGAAAGTTGAATGGCAGCTATAACTACATTGGTTGCTATAGGTGTTGACTCTTGACTCTTATAACAGTTTTATGACTATTTCTAGATGAATCCTATATTCTTCACACCACACCAATACACATTATTGTTCAGATTTTGTAGATAAAGGGACATAATCATAATGTATATGATAAGGTCAACTATAGGGCCCCCCAGACATGTTTTAAAAGCCAATTATGCTCTTGATCTTCTGTGGCTATAATTATGACTTTCACAATAGCATTTCTGTTCTGTATTCCTTAGCTGGATATCACAGAGGCCACTAAACCACCTGTAAGTTTCAGCAAATCAGATGGCCGAAGACTAAATAAGCGAGAAGAACCAAATAAGGACCAGGATGTTGGTAACGCGGGAAGTGACAACAGTATCAGCTCAGGAGATGGGGCTCGATACAACCAATCCATTACACTGGTAACACCATGGTTCTTTAATATGACTTTTGTAAATAAAATAGGTCTTTTTAATAGTAAGATGATGATTTATTTATGATATATTTTGGAACTATGACAACACTACCATAAATCTAGGTACTTACAAGCTTGGCATTACTTTTATCAAGATGTAGGTTACACCTTATAGGATGACATCTCTCTTGCTTGCTGTCTCTCTTTCTCTACGTTGCCGCACCAGCCTCTTCTTTGCAATTTCTATATTTTGTCCATACTGCGTCCTCTTGAACCTCACATCCCTACACAGTTTGGGGGGTTCCTTTTGAAACTCTTTCTTCAGGCTCAGTTCATATAATTTTTTTGCCAGGGCTGGTCTCATCCAGTCAGAAATCAAGATCTGCACATCTGAGCCTATTTAAAGGATAGGTTTAAACAACTTAATCCTTACCGGCTCTATTCTAGATATCCCCCTGTACCAACCTCAGATCAGTGGGTGACCTGGTTCAGGAACTATGGCCTACCCCGGAAGTGCCTCTTCTTAGTGGGCAGGTCCTCTTTTTGTGGAACCATGTGGTTCTATGCATGCATGGCTCTTCTCCATAAGTCCTAATGAAAAAGACCTCTACTTGCAAACCTGCTGGTAAATGGCTTTTCTATTAGGCCCTATTGAGAATAGGTGACGCATTTGCAGTACTGTGTAGCCCTGCCAGCTTAAAGCAGGAAGGGAGCTCTGTCTAACATAGGCATAGTTCCTAGATAGGGTCACCCACTAACCTAAAGTACCAGAATGTATAGGTATGTAATGAATGATTTATGATCTTACTACTTTCAGAAAAACGTATAAATGTGTGCTTAATCTAAATGTACGTTATCTTTTATTATTCATACATACATTGGTGTTCTTGAGGTATGTTATATAGCATTTTATAGGTCTCTACTCCAATTATGTGCCCCCAAGGCACATTACATTACATACATATGTAAGCGGGCTTAGGGTGTAGTGGCTTCACAGAGGTAATCACACGTAATGGTCTTTTCAACAAGATAACGTTTATTACCGGAGAGCCGGTAGTAGGATGAGTATTTACAATAGTAAGGTCAGCAGTTTCACTCCAGGCATGGAGACACAGGTACACAGTACAGTCAGTTCTGATATCAACGTTAGTAGTATTCGTTAGCACTACCAGCACCTCCCACTAACTGGCAAAGTACAAATCCAATCACACGAGGTGTATCGGTAAAGGCGGAGAACACGTTACCCGGGAGCAGCGGTATTCATTCCATACAGCGAGATACGAGTCTGGAACACGCTTCCCGCACTCACAGCGCGGACACAGGTTTGGCTATAAGCAACTGGGAGTCTTTCATCCGACCAGAAGTGCCGATGCAGGACTCCATAGGAACCCTGAACTATCCCTCACAGGCCGGAACACTTTCCCTGAACTCTCCTAGCTCTCCCTCACAAGCGGGGTACCTGTCCCTGTCTACTTTCACACTTGTTCTGCCCAAAAACGTGGTTGGGCTTCCTATATAAGATAACCACCCCAAAATGGCCGACCAAATCTCCCGAGAATTCCTGTCCTATCAGGACACCAGGCTTCTCCAAAATGGTGCTGGAGACAATTATAGAGGCTAAACAGTTCTGAACATATTTACACATAAACATATCAAAATCGGCTGAAAGTAGTTATATACACTGGTTATCCCACTTTATCCTGCAGCCAGCTAGACTGCCCTGTCACTGGCAACTGCCTACACATACATTATACAAGTAAAAGTATATAAGTATTTTTAGGCAGACTCATCAGATTTTACTAATGAAAATAATTTATTGCAGAACTGTACCAATGCTTACTGCTGGGAAATGGAGTGCTCTATTCAGGACATTGCCAAAGGACAAAGAGCAACTGTGAAACTTGAGTCCATACTATGGGTGTCCAGCTTCATGAAAGTAAGAACATGCTTATTACTTCCATAACACCCTCTAGAGTAGGCAAACAATGGGTGGGGCAATGGGAGGAAATAGGCGTGGTTTGGTCAGAGCTCGGCATGGTGGGAATTTATCAATAGAGTGACCTATATTGTTCTAAATATGGGGCACTGCTTGTATGTATCTATCATGACTTTTCATCTGCTACATAGAGAAAACTCTGGGACACCCAGGCCTTAAGGTCAGATAGTGGATGAAAGATCCAATCATTATTATTTTCACCACTTCAACTCTTATAAAAATTCTCACGCTTTGCACGTTCTCTTGTTTTGTAATAAAGAGAAAACTTGATATTTTTAACTGTTCCTCTATCAGGTCTGTCAATTGCTGGACAATGCAGTTTGAGGGAGATGGAAAGTTCTGCCATTATACTGCAAACATATATGTATACACAGAGAGAAAGCTTCATTGTTTCTTACCATCTTAACATACTCTGAAGTTTAATACGGCACTGTTGTCTCTAAAACAAAACATTCTAAAAGCAGGTCACTGTAAATGAAAAGATATTATACTTCTGTGGCCCTCGTCTCCTATCCTTACTCTAATGAAGCTCTACAGCAATCAATACTTTTGGGAGTGTTGAAAGCCTGTGTCCCCTGCCTGCTGTGAAATAGGGGGATGAAGGATGGGACCAGAGCATGTAGAAGGAGACACAGGAATCTGACACTCCCAGAAGTGTTGTATGCTGAAGATTCTAACAATGGTACAAGTGCTTTAAACAGAGCAAAGATAAGAGACAGGGGCATTCAGAGAGGTAGGTGCAATATCTCTTCTTTTGCATTAAGGTGCTCTTAGGATTTTGTATGACAGTAAGTGAAGTTCAGGGATGAAAACAAGGAATTAATTAGAAACCCCTCCACATGTGCACTCTGCTTTCCATAGATGGCTGTTTGGAATCACATGGGACAGGAGGAAGAGAGAGCGCTTAGCTTCACCTCTCTTCTAGCAAGTTGTGATCTGTACCTTTTGTAACTACATGAATGCAGTGCAGCATAGAAATAGTCAATTATGGCTCCCAACATTGAGGACATTTAATAAAATGAGTTTAAACAGGAAATGCTTCCCCTGTTGTTCTGGTCTGCAGACATATTGCTGTCCACACTTTAGAGCAGAGGCGGATAAACTCCGGCCTTCCAGCTGTTGTGGAATTACAAATCCAATGAGCCACTGCAAGATTCTCTCAGCCACAGGCCTGACTCCCAGAGACAGATGCATCATGGGATTTGTAGTTTCATCACAGCTGGAGGTCCAGCGTTTGCCCACTTCTGCTTTAAAGTGTAGACTGCAGACAGGGTGAATGTAAGAAAAGCAATATTTACAACTGACTGGAGCTGTGATAATAGCTATAAAAGCACTTGGAAAATAAAGTTGGTATTACATAAACAATACATAACAGAGCTATGCTTCCAAAAGTAAAGTTATTAATTAGAACTCACCTGACTCTTCTGTTCTCCTACCAGAGACCCCAGAAGTCATTCATTCTGCGCTCCCGAGGTTACTTCCTTGTGACTGGCTCCTCCTACAGGATCCAGCCTGTCACTTTGCTGGCTGCAGAAACACATGTAAGTTTCCCAGTAGCAGTTTATGTGTCGCAGGCCTGTCACTGTCAGCAGACTGTTACGTTTGAAATAATAGAAATATCTTCTCAACATGAAAACTCGAAAATGTGGATAATTTAAAGTGGTATTACACTATCAAACTTATTTTCAATAATGAATCCAGATCAAACACATATACATTGCACAGCAAAGCATTGCTTTACATTTTTGCTCAAACACTTATAATCATCATGTTTCCAAGTCTCTCAGCTCAGCTTCCCTGAACTTACTGTCCAGTACAAGATCACAAAGGACAGAGCAGACTCGAGCAACTGTTCATCTAATAGTTTGGAGAAGGGAGGAGAGGGGGCCAGGGAGGACCAAGTAGCTTGATTTGCTGTGCCTAAGACACACACAGCTTACTAGCACACAGAAGGGTGGCTGCATAGCACTCTGCTTGAGAAAGGAGCCACCCAGAACAGGATATCAGGCCAGTGCTTAGGGGACCAGCTGATTCTGCAGGAAACTGAAAGCTTTAAAAATCAGGGAGCAGCATTCATTTTAAGTGATTTCATCAGCATTTCAAATAGCTTAAAATCCTTTTTGACTTTAATATCAGCTGACATTCCAGCCTCAATACAGCCTAAATGGGTATAACACACCAACACACTTCATAACGCTAATGCAGCACACACAGAGGTAACATAACAATGTGCTATGGACTCAGACCTGGTATGCAAATCTAAAATAGTAACCTTATAGTTGTTTATGGGCAGCTTTCAGATGACTGCATTCCACTACACTATCATACCCCTTGAGGTGGAACTCCACCCGAAACTAGGGACGTGCGGTCAGGGGAGGCAGGTGAGGCAGAGCCTCACCTAGTATTATGGAGGAAAAAGCTGTCAGGTTCAAGTCTGAAGCTGACAGCTTTTTCTCCATTCAGAGCGGCTTCTAGCAGGTTACACAGCAGGAAAATCCTCCACGCTGTGTAACCTGTCATGGACGGAGCGCTGCCTGTTAATTATAGGCGGCGCTCCATCCGGCTTTTGACAGCTAAGTTAGGTTATGTGGCAGCGGGCTTCCTCACTGCTTGTGTAACCTAACATAGTGAGGGAAGAGCTGCAACAACCTCTACTATGTGTTAAAGGTGTGAGCTCTGTGGATGGTTCGGACCAATGGCACAGCGCCATTGGTCCAAGCTGTCCAATCAAAAAAAAGACAAAAAGCCCACTGAGGACATCGATCTCGATGCCTCACCAGTGATGAGCAAGTGAGGAACAGGGAAGCTCCTCCCTGTCTCCTCCCTTCTCCCTTCACACTAGCTTGGGGACCGGGTTGGGCGGATGTTCTGGGGGCGAGGCTGCGGAATGCCTCACCCGAAACCAGAGGTGTCGCATTTCACTGCTACACTATCATACCCCTTGAGGCGGAACTCCACCCGAAAATTGTTTTTGTTATGGATGGAAGTCAATTCCCGGTTTTGTACTGCTCTTTAAAGAGGAAATGTGGGCAAAACTTGTATTAACCCTTGCAGTGGGGCTACCCCCGCACTGCAAGGGTTAACTGCTCATTTTAGTCTAGGGAGGAAAATAAAAAAAAGTTATACTCACCCGATCCTCTGAGCTAGCTTGCTCTTAGACCGGTCCTTCAAGCCTTGCTTCCTCTCTGCTGCAGCAGGCTAAGGTCCTTGAGTCATCACGTTCTATACACAGTGTATATGACGTGAGGACCCCGAAGGACATTCCATCGCTGGAGCTGACCAAGATTCATGGAAGAGCACACCGATCTCTTGTATTTAGAGAACATTTGCTTTATATGGAGTTCAGTTATCACAGCTTATATCCTGGCTGTTACATCAATGTACATCAGGATCCAGCGCCTATCTTTTAACTTGATGACCTTATTCAGCAAGGTAATAATGTGCAGTGTAGTAACACACGGGGGGGGATTTACTAAAACTGGAGCAGACAGAATCTGGAGCAGCTGTACATAGTAACCAATCAATTTCTATATTTAGCTTGTTCAATTAAGATTTGAGAAAGAAAGCTAGAAGCTGATTGGTTGCCATGCACAGCTGCTCCAGATTTTGTCTGCTGCGGTCTTAGTAAATTCCTCTCACACTGATCTCTTTTCGCTAATGGGTCTGCAGAAAACTGAAATGTGATGGTTGTGGGTTACTGGACTTTATGCATTATAGTTACTTTGTACTGCCTGACCTAATAAGACTAGTGCAAAGTGAATTCTCATTGGTTGCCACTTGTTTCTCCCCTTGGCATGTTGATTCCATCTTACAAAATGAGCCTGTATTCCTGGCTTCTGCTTCCTGCAGCTGTCTGGCCTTTTGTATATTCTGTCCACTTGTATAAAACAGTTGCCCTTTTCTTCCCAGTACATCTGTTCCTCTGCCTGACCCGACTTTCCCTTTGGATAGCATTCCACTCTCTTCAGCTGCTCCAGTTCCTTATTCGGGTGTCTGTTATTTCCTTTATCTGTCTCCTTCTTCTTCATTGGGGAAATGTGTGACAATTCTGTCACTTAGAATCACCTCTGATATACATCCTTTGTCACATACAGCAACACTTCCCCCCTCTACTCTTCATTTCCCATCTCAGCCACTGTAACCTTTTCCTGATAAATATATCAACGCCATTCCTGTATGCAAAGAGTAATACTTTTTTTCTCATTTTAAATTATCTTAAAAAAATAAATGAAATCAAAATGTTATTTTACTTTAACTTATCTTTCTAGCACATCCTGTATATATGTAATCATTTCCACGGAAAGCTGTTATCAGTTCACCCAAATTCAATATTTCAAATTATAGATACTAGAGGGTTAAACTGAAAGGATTCATCAAACTTTGTCCCGTTTTACACTCGGGAGGGGATATTTGCTCAGTGTAGCATTGCCACCTTTTCTCCAAGCGAAACCCGAACACACTCTAGCGATGCACTGAAATTTGTGGGGGAGAATGAGTCGTGGCTTATTCATATGTAAATAGCGCCGCCCATTCATATATCAATATCACAGTTGAGACTATTTTCAGTGGGGGGCCAGTAGCCCCTATCTTAATTTTGGTTGCCCCTGTCTGCCTGACATCTTGTCCCCGGGTTTAAGCTGCTATGAAACCCGGACACAGCATTCAAAACTCGGACTGTCCGGGCGAATCCTGCACAGGTGGCAACCCTAGCTCAGTCCCATCGTTTGCTTTGCAGCACTGGTTCCCATTCCATGGTATATATGCCCCTTGGAGTATTTGTGGGTACTTCTCCTTCCTCTACTAAATGCATTATACCAGTTTTAGCGCTTAACATATGCAGAATGAATGCCCATATTTTCATGTTCATAAAGGGAACATATAGGGATGTAAATTATTTAAAAATCAGGGATTGTGACTGGCACCATTCTCTAGTGCAGAATCAATCATTGCCATTTAGAACACATGGGCCTGAAAGTTTTACCAGCAGAGGCGGTTTGCTGAATATAAGATTCACTGGTGTATATATGGTGCCCCAATATGCCCCATGGTGTTTTGTGTTTTAATTTTTTTCTCTGGATGGAGTCAGACCCATCCAATGGTCCATCTTCTTCCCTGTCCTTGCCTGCCTGTTCAGATACATGGAGTTTCAATCTGTGAGAGGGAGTCTAAATGCAAACTGCTTCTGCTGTACTCGTTTATTAAGGCCATATTCACACACAACGCAAGAGCAAAATTGTACTCATGTTTGTAAATGCGTATATGTGTATGTATACCTCCTCATGTATCACTTGCCCCTCCCTCTTAGATCGTAAGCCCTCATGGGCAGGGCCCTCCTTACCATCTTGTCCTGATTTGTAATGTCTTTCTTATATTGTAAAGCGCTGCACAAACTGTTGGCACAATATAAATCCTGTATAATAATAATGTATGCGCGTTTGTATGGGCATATATGCATGAACTGTATGTGTATGGAGCCAAAAACGCTGCGGCCCCTATGCACAGCATATTATACGGCAGTGTGAATGAGGACTAAAAATTCCATGATGCTCTCTGACATCAGTATATTAAAGATTTAATTATATATAAATTGTAAATAAAGCTATAAAACATATTATTTAAAATGTCTAAGCTTGAAAAAAACAAAACAAAAGTGAGCCAAAATCATGATCATTTTCAAATAAAATAAAAGTTCTAATTATTCTGATTTTCATGCAAATTAATTATTCTTGATTTTCAACAGTAATTATTGTAAAACATTTTTTACAGACCAATAGACAGTACTAATAATAAATGTGCCCCCATCACCTGGTATTTAGGATTAGGGGATCCACACCAGGGACATAAAGCGAGGTCAGTGGCAGGTAAAGAACCCCCGGCCCGCCCTCGGTATTGTGACTCACAACCTGTGAGGTAGGAGGAAAAACTGCTCTGTTTGTGGGGTGTTGGAGGAGGGAGGGAGGAGCCTCCCTATCCATCACTTGCTCATCACTGATGAGGCATCTAGATGGATGCCATCAGTGTTTTTTTTTCATTGGATGGGTTGGACGAATGGACCAATGGTGCTTTGTCATCAGACCAAACCATCCACAGAGCTCAAGCCTCGGACTCCAAGTCAGAGGCTTGTTGTAGCTGCGACCTCACTGTGTTAGGTTACACACATCAGTGGGGAGGTCCGCTGCTGTGTAACCTAAAGGCTGTGACACACTGCACGTGAAGCAGTGTGTCATGTAATGTTCTCACCAGAATGTCAGCTTGCGAGTGCTCGCATAGGTAAGCAAGGTGAGATGAAAAATTTAATCTTCAGCCAATCGGTTCGCGTGTGTAAACCGGCACGTCACAATGCACACTCCATCCAGTTGTTACGTGCGAGCCGATTGGCTGAAGATGCCGTCATTCATCTGGCTGCACTCACACACTGGATGCGAAGCTCTGTGCCTGACAGCTTTGCTTCCCTCTGCACGGCTTCGCTTGCAGTGTGTCACGGGCTTAATATAGCTGTCAAAAGCCGGATGAAGCACCGCCTGTAATTAACAGGCTTTCCCCTCTGTGTAACATGTTGGAAGCGGCTCTGAATGGAGAAAAAGCTGTCAGCTTCAGACAACAGGTCCCTGATCCACACCAGGAGAGCTTGAAAAATACTGGCTTGAATAAAGTGGTATGGAGTTTAACAAGGTTAAACAAAAATACTGGTTTATGGATCCCCAATTGAAAAAAATTAGTTTGTAAACCCACTTCTGCTTATGTCAAAAACTGAAGACAAAATCCCAAAATGAGAATGATACTTTTCTGCAGACAGCAGAGGGCAAGGCAAGGCTTGCAGCAGAGATTACAGAGCATTAGAGCCCAAATTAGAATGTCATATTGCAGAAAATGACATTTAATTATCAGTGAAAATGCGCACACTAGAAATTGAGGCAATACACAACTGTTATTAGCTTATCACCATCAATAATTCAGTGCGGTTTATAAAGTCATAGCAAGTTCCACGTCTGAGCAAATATTCCGAGCCGCAAATAGGGCTCCTTGACATCAGTCACGACATCTCACAAATAACTTCAAAGAGCCTCCCGTCAGCAGCTCTTGTTTTGACCACTCATGATAATCCGAGTTTAGTATAATGGGGGATTTTTGTGGGCTCTCACATGCTTCTACCCTGTGTTTCATCTCGCTCTCCTCTCTCAGGCCGAGACAGTGGTTCAGTGGGTGACTCCGGACGGCCAGAAAGACATTCCTGTGCGGTGGATAATCCTGGGAGTCTTTGGGGGGCTGCTAATCTTGGCATTGTTTGTATACGCTATGTGGAAGGTGAGTTGCAAAATGGCCGCCGTCACGTCAATTGGGTTCCTATAGTAACCACTCTAAGAAAATAATTATTTATTCTCTTAAACCTAACCTATAATTTTCTGATTTTGTAGCTTGGATTCTTCAGGAGGACGAGACCACCGACAGACGAGGGGGAAGAGTTGACGGCGGACAAATAATGGATGACTCGCTTCCAATTAGCTTCTTCATTTCTTTTTTACTACTTGCCATTAAAACGATGAATGGGTAGGAAGCTGAAAAGTTTTTTTTAAATGTTCATTTTACATTGCATAGCCCCCTTGTTTCCTCACACAAGGCCTCATAGCAACCTATAGCATTCCAGCTGCCATTTTCCACTGCAGGTTAAGACGTGAGGCCTCTGACTGGTTCCTGTGGGGCAACCTATAGCAATACAGCTGCCATTTTCCACTGCAGGTTAAGACGTGAGGCCTCTGACTGGTTCCTGTGGGGCAACCTATAGCATTCCATCTGCCATTTTCCACTGCAGATTAAGATGTGAGGCCTCTGACTGGTTCCTGTGGGGCAACCTATAGCATTCCAGCTGCCATTTTCCACTGCAGGTTAAGACGTGAGGCCTCTGACTGGTTCCTGTGGGGCAACCTATAGCAATACAGCTGCCATTTTCCACTGCAGGTTAAGATGTGAGGCCTCTGACTGGTTCCTGTGGGGCAACCTATAGCAATACAGCTGCCATTTTCCACTGCAGATTAGGACGTGAGGCCTCTGATTGGTTGCTGTGGGGCAACCTATAGCATTCCAGCTGCCATTTTCCTCTGGGTGGGAGGAAATCTCCATTCCTGGGTCCATGTTTTGGTAGTAACCAGCATCTAATTGTGCACCTGAAGAGTGAAGAGTGTGCTGGGATGTGTTCAGGGCTCCACCTGGGAGACAGGAGAACTCCATCCTGGAGTCAGTGTGGTGGCCAGTGCAGCAGGGTGCTGCGGGTTTGTAATTATGTTGGACTTCTTGATTATATGCCTTTTGAAAGAAAAATAAAGACTTTTTGTTAATGGAAAAGTGTGTGCGAGTGCTCCGTGAGCTCCCCAACATTACAATATATAATATATACATACCCTGTTTCCCCGAAAATAAGACCTAGTACTATTTTGGGGAATTGCTAAAATATAAGACCTACCCCGAAAATAAAACCTAGTTGTGACCATTCCTAGGGCCGGTGGTGGCATAAGGGGGAACTTGAAGAGCCGCGGGAGAGAATCAGCGGTGCCAACGAAGCCCGCGCTAGAGGAAGCAAGGCGGCAGGGCAGGGAGCAGAGCCACATAAGCCGATGACTCCTCTATAGCGCCGACTCCTGTCACAGACGGAGTGATAACAAAATGCACTCCGCCTGTGAGGAATCTATAGTGAAAGTGCGCTTCGCTCATTCTGGCCAGTGATTGGTTACCAAATTCCTCTGGGAAAGTGCGGCACCCCTGATTGCCCTGATCACCCTATTCTTAACTTTACCATTTTGGATTATATAATTTGGATTTGCATTAACTTTGGATTGTTATACATAAAAAAAAAAAAAATAAGACCTGCCCGGAAAATAAGACCTGGTGTGTCTGGCAGTGTCCTTTTTTCGGGGCAGCATACCTGTGTTTCTGTTTGTGGCTCCCTGGACGGCAGAGCGGACAGCAGCAGCCAGGTTAGACATCCCCCGAAAATAAAAAAAAATAAGACACTGTCTTATTTTCGGGGAAACACGGTATATACACATTTTCAAAAAAAATAAGACCTACCCCGAAAATAAGACCTAGTACTATTTTGGGGAATTGCTAAAATATAAGACCTACCATGAAAAAAAGACCTAGTTGTGACCATTCCCAGGGCCGGTGGTGGCATAAGGGGGAACTTGAAGAGCCACAGTATCTAACAAGAAGGACTTTTTTGCCGATACACAGTTAATTGCTACATGTGGTTCTGGGAATATGTAAATGGATTTGGAACATACTTTACATACATAACTTCAAATTGATGAACACTAATGGATGTGTTAATGCTTCAAATGGCATTGTGGAGAGCCGGCCGGACTGCTTGCATGACATCTGAAATGAGATGAATTTGGAAGCCGTTTAGGCCGGGCTCACAGGGAGTCTATTAAGGGAGATCTGGGGACGAAAACCGCCTCCTAGCACCACAAGCACTTCCAGCAGAGGCGTCCCAAAGAAATGCGTTCAAAGCCGCAATAGATGAATTCATTCCAGTGCTATGTGTGTTAGAGCTGGTAGGTCACATGACATGTCACAATACACGGTGACAGTATAACGTTTTATAAAGCAGCTCCAGTCCAGTGACTTAGTCCTCTCTGAGGTGATGTCATCAGTCCTATGTCAGCAGGAGGAAGGATTTCCCTGGTGTCCTCTACTCTACCCCAGTGATCAGACTCTACATGGTAACATTGTAGCAAGGGGAGAGGCTGCAGCAGGGGCTGATCTGGGTCAGACGTTTGTAAACACAGGGAAGGATTTCCCTGGTGTCCTCTACCCCAGCGATCAGACTCTACATCAGTGGTTCTCAACCTTTCTAGGGCCGGGACCCCTTGGTAACATTTGCCAAGTTGTGGTGACCCCCAACGGTAAAATTTAGGGATGACGCGGCTGCTGCAGCGACATCTGGTGGCGTTGGCGGGAGAACTGACACTGCTGCGCTAGGAGAGGGCTGAGGAGGACTCTCACCTAGCACAGCAGAAATCAATACAATATACAGTATATCTATCAGTGATATACAACACGTCACACAATGCACAGGACACAGAATCATAGGAATAGGGCACTAGGACTTGATGAAGCTTACAAGCTCACAGGGACA